AGGGGCGGGGGCGGAGGGGGGGCGGGGGCGGGTTTTCTTTTTCTTTCTGTGCCTGTTTCCCGTTCCCTCCAGCGACACGAGTCATTCTGGTCCCCCCCACCCCGCTCACCCCGCAGCAGCTCCAGCAGGCTCTCCTTGGGCAGGAGCTCTGTGATGATGTACCCAGGGTCCCCCACAGTGCCAGGATGGGCTTGTGCCGCGGCTTCTTCATGGCCTGGATCTCCGACTGGAACGTGTGCCGACGCAGAAGCTCAGCTGTCGGGGCAGGCGGGCGGCCTTGCTGGGTGCAGCCCTCGGAGGAGCTGAGCCCCTGTCCCACCCATCCCCCCACCCGCACGCAGCAGCGGCTCAGGAAATGTGGGCGCCCTCCCCGACGCCCCAGCTCCCAAGCCAGGATGCCAGGGCAGACACAGCCTGGCCCCTGCTGTTCACACAAGGGTCCACTGTGCCCACCAGCTGCTCTCCCCACACCCCAGGGACCACAGACACCCCCATGTGGTTTATGCCTGCCCAAGCCAGACGTGGAGCTGGAACAACCCCTCCCAAGGGTGTTCCCTTGCACCCCTGGGCCCCTGGTTCCTGAAGTGGGCGATCCCAACCTCTGGGGGGTCCCAAGAAGATTTTAGATGAACCTTTTCAGATTTCTAGTGATCTACTTATTTTAATGGATTTCCTTCCATTTACATGAAGAATTTAAAATTCCCTTTTAAGATAAATGCATTTAGATAACAGCAATGAAAGGAGAATGCCACCCGGACACTGCGGCAGGTGCCACAGGTGATCCAAGTTAGGGCAGCGAGTGGCTGGCAGGGCGTCAGGGCCCAAGGGCTGCTGGGCTGCCCCACCCCCGTGAGTAAAGCCAGAAGTCCCCGGCCTGGAGCCCGCTCACCTCGGACGATCACCTTGATGGCCACTCGGACCTTGTCCTTCCAGAGCCCTTTGAAGACCTCCCCAAAGTAGCCGGAAGCCCAGCTTCCTGCAGAGCGTGAACTCTTCCCGAGGCCTCTCCCAATCGTCACAGTGGGGCAGGGGCTCCAGCTCATGCTGCAGGGACACGGGGCGGGGGCCCCCATCCTCGGGAAGTCAGCCCCTGGTCTATCATCAAATGTAGGGCCACGTCCTGCTTGGGAGGGTCCCAGTGTCCGGCATGTGGCCAGGCTCTCCCAGGGACTGCCCCAAGCCTGGCTGACCCCTGCTGTGTCCTGCAAACAAAGGCCACCACCACCCCTCCCCCGCACCTGCTCTGGGCCAGCGACACTGGCCTGACTGCCACCCACACAAAACTCCCGTCTGGCTGCTCGCCGGGGCACGTGGCCCGAGCTCCCAGCAGCCCAGAGACTCCGGACGCAGCAGGAGCACAGCTGACCTCTAGCTGGCCCAAGGGTGAGAGTGACTGGGCAAAGGAGGACACGTCCCCTGCCCACCGTCCCCCCGCGCCCGGCTCTGTACAACCACGGTTCCCACGTAGCCAGAGTCCCTGGGCTGAGTGTTCCCAGGGGTCCCCCAGCCAGTCAGGGAGTCAGGACCCACACCCACCTCCACCCGAGGGTTTGTGTCCCTGTTGGGGGCAGGGCCCTACCTTTCGGCGGGGCGAGGTCAGCCACAGGCCGTGGGACAGGCTCTGGGCCTCGTGGTGGTCCACGAGCTTGGGTAGGCTGAGGAAGGACACAGCCTCGTTGAGGTGCAACCGGCCGTCCTGCCACCAGATCTTGTAGTGGCGAACGGTCTGCTGGTCCCGCACCGGACGGAGGGGACGCTTGTGAACAGGCGCTGAGAGAGGCCCACTGGCAGGGGTGCCCCCAACGCAGAAAGGAGAGAACCGGCCAGACCCCGGGGAAGGCACCCAGGCCGCAGGGCCTGCACCCACTGAGGGTCAGAGCTCCCAGAGCAGGGCCTGGACGTCACAGCGCAGTGGAGGGGACAGGCCGGAGGGGCCGGGCTCTGCATGCACGAAGGGCTTAGGGACCAGGAGCCCCGAAGTCAGGCCCAGGTGGGGCTGCGGAGCGGGCAGGGGCGGGAAGCGGGCACCCGAGAGGACGCAGTTGGCGCCCGGCTCCTCGCTGACCCGGATCAGGAAGGCCCCCAGCTCGTTGCCCGTGGCCTGCAGTCGGTGCAGGGCTTCCGAGAGAGAGATCCGGCCAAAGAACCACCTGCGGGGCGGGGGGACCCTGAGCCGCGCGGCTCCCCGCCTGTGCCCCCCACCAAGTCCCAGCCCACCTGATCCGCTGCCTCCTCGTGCCCCCAACCCCGGCCCACAGCTGCCCGCGGACACTCACTGACCCAAAGCCCCCTTCTTTGCCCATCACCGACCCCAAATGTCCCAAGTGGCCAGTTCTGGACCCCAGGAAAGACCCTGGTGACCCAGAAGTGGAGAAAGCCCCTCCCACTACCCTTCCCAGACTGTCCCCCGTCTGTGCGGACAGAGCCCCCCATCCTGTGGGTACAGCAACCCTCCCCAACCTCGGCCGTGGCTCTGTGGCCATTCTCCTGGACCACATCGTTCTGTGACTCTGTGGCCGCCTTGTGGACCCGGGCCACAGGCACGCCATGCTCCGGCACCGTGGGACCTGGGGACGCACATGCACCCACACACGTGCACAGGCATTCTCACACCCCAGCTCCCAGCGCCAGGGCAGGGCTGGGCCTGCGGAGTTTCCCAGGGGACCTCTGCTGCCAACCGCCCCGCCCTTTGCGCCCTCGGCTCCCTCAGGCCCCATCGGAACGTGGGTCCCTGCACGGAAGACCACTGCCCAGCACTGAGCCCCGTGGGGTCCACGGGCCACCCCCACCAATCCAGCACCTCTGGAATCTCTCCCATTTGCCCCACCCCCCACGAACCACCCTGCCTCCTTCCACTTCTCGAGTGTGCTGGGTTCCCAGGGCCCGCGGCCTCTGCACTGGCAGTGCCGGCCCCTGCCTTGTCACTGTCGGGGGCCCTGCCTGAGATGGTCCTGTCTGCACCATGCTTAGTGTCTCCCCCCAGGAGGGGCGACCCTGCCCGCGTCGGCTCCGGCACAGCAGGTGCTCAATGAGTGGCGTGCACAGGCACACGGGGGGGGCCGTGGGAATCCCCCCCCCAGACCCTCCCGTCCAGAGCTCAGGGAACCACCTGGGGTCGCGAGGACACACGCACGCCGGGCTGCGCCTGTGGCCCAAGCTTGCTGGGCCGCCCTCAGGCCCACAGTCGTCTCTGGGAGCCACCTTGCCAGCGATGGGCAGCCGTGCTGGTACGAGCAGCAGGTCTGTGGCCCACCCCCGGGCGGGCCTGTCGCAGTGGCCTTCCCGCTCCCTGACTAGGCCAGCAGGCTGGTTTCCGGAGTTTGGAAGGTGAGCGAGGCTTCACACCCCAAAAGGCCCAGGCTCTGCCTTGGACTCACTGTCAGCTGGCTGCCCTTCTCTGGGTCCCGGCACGGAGGAGGGGCCAGAGCCTCTGCAGCCCCCATCCCCAGATGTCACACAGCAGAAGCCCGGCCAGGGATCCCAAGGCCAGGATGGTAGGCCCAGCCCCACTGGGGGGGCAGGGAGACAGAGCCACGGGCCACCCTCCTTGGCAGCCCAGGGTCCCTGCCCGCACCCAGAGCCCAGCCACAGCGGCACAGAGCTCTGTCCCGATAGACGCCCTGCAGGGCCCAGGGACGGGCAACTTGGAGTGACCCACGAGGGCCGCGGGGAGACTCACGGCTCCAACCCCACCGTCTCCTTGGCCAGAGCCCTGCCCACCCGGTCCAGCAGCACGGTCCACCACCACTCCTCCTCCTTTCTGGCCACATGGAAGAGGTCCCCTGCCCGGAAGCTCAGCTCCTGGGCTGTGCGGGCCTCGAAGTCCCAGAGGCCCACATACTTGTGCTCCTGCTGCCCACCGCCACTGCCCCAGGCTCCAGGGGGCCCCCACCCACCTGGTCTGATGACCTTGACCGCCACGAGCATGGAGTCCAGCCACAGGCCTTCCCACACCTCCCCGAAGTAGCCTTCGTCCAGCTTCCTCCGCAGGGTGAACGCAGAGCGGGGTCGCTGCCACTCGTCCTGTTCAGGGGGCTTCTGCGGGTGTGGGGGGCATTCAGGGCCTTTGCCCATGGCTCCCTAGGCAGAGTGGGCAGCTGCTCCTGGGGCCCCAGGCCTCTGGCCCTCTGCCTCTGCGCCCCAGCACACGCTCAACTCTGGCCCTGGCCGGGGCAGGGGGCCCGGGTGCTGACCTCCGGAGGCCTGGCCCTAATTGCTTCCAGACCTAATGGCACCTTTGCTGGCGGTAGGCATCCATCCACAAGCGCTCGTTACTGCCCCTGTCCGGACTGTCACTAAGAGACCAGAGGAACCAGATGGCTGCCCGGCCCCCCGGCAGGACCGCTCACCTGGGACAGGCGCAGGTACCACGGCTCCAGCGCAGGTGTGGCGTCATCCCCACTGGCATCTCCTCCCACAGCCTCCGCACTGGCCTGGGGCTGCCGTGGGCGCCTTCCCCAACCTGCCCTCCCCTCCTGGCCGCTCTACAGGGCTGGGCGGGGTGGGAGGGCATCCTACAGGCCTCATCTTCCCCCCACCCCAGAGAATCCCATAGAAATATAACACCTGGGCTTCCCTGGCAGCGCAGTGGTTAAGAATCCACCTGCCAGGGCTTCCCTGGTGGCGCAGTGGTTGGGAGTCCGCCTGCCGATGCAGGGGACACAAGTTCGTGCCCCGGTCCGGGAGGATCCCGCATGCCGCGGAGTGGCTGGGCCCATGAGCCACGGCCGCTGGGCCTGCGCGTCCGGAGCTTGTGTTCCGCGGCAGGAGAGGCCACAGCAGTGAGAGGCCCGCTTATCACAAAAAAAAAAAAAAAAAAAAAAAAAGAATCCACCTGCCAATGCAGGGGACACGGGTTCAAGCCCTGGTCTGGGAAGATCCCACATGCCGTGAAGCAACTAAGCCCGCGAGCCACAACTACTGAGCCTGTGCACCACAACTACTGAAGCCCGCGCGCCTAGAGCCCATGCTCCGCAGCAAGAGAAGCCCGCGCACTGCAACAAAGAGTAGCCCCCGCTCGCCACAACTAGAGAAAGCCCACGCACAGCAATGAAGACCCAACGCAGCCAAAAAATAATTAATTAATTAATTTTTAAAAAGAAATATAACCCACAGGGATGAATCAGAGTGTGGAGGAGTCACTGGGGCACCTGCTCCCAGGCTTCATCAGGTCCCCCCCTGGCAGCACCCAGTGGGCCAGCTGGACACGTGCTGGACAGTGTCTCAGGAGGGGCAACCTGGCAGGTAGGGGGGTGGGCATGGGCCCACCTAGGGCTCACAGGGCTGTCGCAGCTTCCAGTGGGCTTTGCAATAGGCCAGCAGCTCCTCCAGGCTGGGGACGAGCTGGTCCTTCTGCAGGGAGAGGCTGCCGGTGGCTGCTGTGGGGATGCTGTAGTGGTGGACTTTGGTCCGGGCCCAGACTGGGAGGGCACAGAGACGGAGGCCACATCTCGGCTGCAGCCTGCCCTGACCCTCCCGCCACCCCAACCAGGTGATGCATACTGTCGGGTCCGAGGCGGGTTGGGGGCTGGCACTGCCTGGGAAGCAACCACCCCAAGGTCAAGGGCACCTGGTAGCTGACAGGGAGTAGTCCCCATGGCTGCTCTCGCTGGGCCGCACGGGGAAGGCCCCCAGCGCGCTGGGTGGGGGCAGGAGCAGCTGCTGGGCCTGGGTTCGGCTGATGCCACTGAAGTACTCGCTGCAAAGGGCAGGCCCAGGGGTCCCCACACCAGCCCAGCCCCGAGCAAGCCCTGCCCACCACGGGCCAGGCCCCAGAGGCCCACTCCGCGCAGGTGAGAGGGAGAAGGAACACCTGGCTCCCGGTACTGGGGACCCAGTCTGGGATCCACACCTGCCCCAGCCCCCAGGGCCCAGCCTCTGGAGTCATCGGGGACTGGACACAGGTGGGGGTGCCCCCCAAAGAGGGGACCAGGTAGGCAAAGCTGGCGGGCGGGTGCTGCTGGAGCCTGGGGTGATCTGATATTGCAGATCAGCGGCTGAGACAGGCCTGCCCTGGCACAGAGGCCTGTGCCCACCCTGGGGGGCTACAGGGAAGGAGCCAGAGTCAGTCGGGGGTCTGGGCTGAGGCTGGAGGCAGGAAGGGGTGGGGTGATGGGGGGCAGAGCGGCACAGGCCTGAGGGACGTTGGGGGGGGAAATCAGCAGACACGCGGGGAAGTGTCAAGGACCTGTGGACCTGGGTCTCCCGAGACGAGCCCTGGCTGGATGGCAGGCTGGGGACACACTGATGTGGGAGCAGGACGCACAGCCCCGTGCAGCTGCCGGGCTCCTCCTGCAGCCGGGCCTGCTGTCTGGGACCCTCTAGCCAGGAGAGCCTCTCCCACGGGAAGGGCTACAGGGGGCCTTCCCTGGACAGCAGTGCTTCCCACCCCACCCCTCCCCTGGACCCACTTCGGGGCCTGGGGGGCTGGGCCCAGCCCCCGCGCACATCCCGCCTTCCGCGACGTTCTTGGAGCCCGTCCCCGGAGTGTGCAGCAGTGGGCGACAAGACCGGGGGCCCTGCAGCTGGAGAGCAGTGAGCCTCTCTGTGGGGGTTGAGGGGTCTCCCCGGCCCGCCGGCCTGGGGACAGGAGCCAGGTAGCTGGGGCTGAGGACACCACGAGTGTGGCAGCCCTTGCATCTCAGCCCAGACACACAGTCATTAGCTCTTCCTCCCAGCAGCCCCTCCCCTCCCCCAGGACCCTGCCAGCCGCCTCCAGGAGCTGCTCTCGGGGTCCGTCCTCCACCTGGGATGACTGTAGGCCCCTACCCATCAGAACGGCTGGCTGTGGGGTGGTGGCCTGGAGTCCTCTCAGAAGGCACCTTCCTGGGAATCAGGCTTTTCCCCCAGATGCAAATCCCCCAGGAGACTGTGGGAATGCTGAGGGGCCCCCAGGATGCTGAAGGTGGCCTGAGTGAAGCTGAGACCTGCTGCTGGTCGGCAGAGACCGAGCTTGGTGCAAGACCAGGGGCCTGCGTCAGGGCGAGGTCTGGGCAGCTGAGCCTCGCTGTGCTGGCCCCGTTCACCAACCAGCTTCTGGCCTGTTCTCAGCCAGCATTTCACCTCTTGGTGCTAGGGCTGGGAAGAGGCGTCTCTGCCCCAGGGTTCCCCAGCTGGCGCCCCCTCCATCTAGAAGTCAGGGATGGGACTTCCCCGGTGGCGCAGTGGTTAAGAATCCGCCTGCCAATGTGGGGGACGTGGGTTCGAGCCCTGGTCTGGGAAGATCCCACATGCCGTGGAGTAGCTAAGTCCATGTGCCACAACTACAGAGCCTGTGCTCTAGAGCCCACGAGCCACAACTACTGAGCCCACGAGCCACAACTACTGAAGCCCATGCGCCTAGAGCCCGTGCTCCGCAACAAGAGAAGCCACCGCAATGAGAAGCCCGCGCACTGCAACGAAGAGTAGCCCCTGCTCGCTGCAACTAGAGAAAGCCCGCATAGCAACGAAGACCCAACGCAGCCAAAAATAAATAAAATAAATAAATAGAAGCCAGGGATTACAGTGGCCGAGACGTTCAGGAGAAAGATGGGGAAGGACCACGCCCGGGGCGTGGATCAAACGTTTGAGGCCCAGTACTGTGTCCACAGCCACAGGGCACTGTGTCCACAGCCACAGGGCAGGGCCCTGTTCAGCGCTGGCACACAGCTGTGCCGGGAGGCTACCCTGTCCTGCGGACCCTGAGCCTGCGCCGAGAGGTCACCTCCTCTGGAAGAGCGCCCAGCCTCTGCTTCCCCCCCATGATCACAGACTGGCATGCAAGCAGACAAGTGTCTGTGCCAGCCTCTCCCCACCTGTAGACTGCCTTGGCCCTAGGGGCCGAGGGCACTCAGGGCAGTGGGTGGGCTCCCCCACCTGGATCCAGCCTCCAAATGAGCCTCTCTGGGAGCAATCCCAAAGGCCAGGGCCATGTTTGCCCCATACCTGGCCCAGAGCAGGGGGAGGGGGCCAGGTGAGTGAGGACAGGTGAGAAGGGGGGGCGAAGACATCTCTGTGACCCAGCTTATCACCCCTTCCAGCCCCGGGTCACCACCTCACCCCGTCACAGCACAAGCTCACTACTGTCCTCACCGTCTCACTCAGAACTGCATCCCAGTCCCCAGTCCCCTGCCCTCCAAGGAATGACCCGTCAGCAAAGATTGCTGGATGCCAGGCCTGAATCCCTGGGTGCGATCAGGAGGGCCTGGCGAGTGCAGCACGCACACACACCCACCAGCCGGCTCGCGCCCCGGCTTAACCACGCCTGCCAGAGTCCCTGCCACCTTCCCTCCCAGCGGAATCGGGTGCCCAGGCTTACTCCTGTCTCCCCAGAGGGGGCGGTACTCACGGCTGGTTCCAGAGCGTCTCAGGGGCGGCCTTGGCCACGTAGGTGATGGGCACCAGCCCCGTGCTGGGCCAGCCCGCGAGCCGGCGGGCGAGGATGTAGCCGCCCTCCTCCCTGAGGGCGTGCAGCCTCTCCCCGCGGCTGACACTCAGGTCCTCCGCGCTCCGCGCCGTGAAGTCAGCGCCCTGAAGAGCTGCGCGGGGGCCGGGGGGTTGCAGGGCTCCGCGGTGGGGGGCTCCGCTGCCGCGGGTTCCGGCTCCACGTCGGCGTCGGAGTCCGGGTTCGGGAACCGCGGCGCGCCCGCCGGCCAGATCTTGTCCCAGAAGAAGGACAGGAAGGTCAGCAGCTTCCTGAAGAAGGGCTCCATGCCCGGCGGTGCGCCAGGCCCTGCAGGGGTCGGAAAGGGTGCAGCAGCGGGGCTCGGGGACCCCGACGGGGAGAAACTGGCGGCGCGGCGCGACGGTGAGCGCTGGAGCCTCGCTGGCGCAGGGGGGGCGGGTGAGAGTCGCTCCAGAGGTCCCCGCCCGCTCCCCGCGGTGCTCACATCAGCACAGGGTGGCCCCCCAGCCCCGGCCACACGACGGCCGCTGCTCTCCTCGACCTCTAGGGTGTCTCGCAGGCAGCACCGGTACCCCGACCGCTCCGAGCCGCGTGCGTCTGGGCCGGGATCTGTCCCAGGACGGCGTCGGGGCGGGGCCTGGAAGAGGGTTTCCCGAAACCTGCGTCTGGGCGGGGCTCTGGGGCGGGGTCTCGGTGGGTGGGGCCGTGGTGGGTGGGGTCTCGTGGGCTGTAGAAGGCGACGCAGGGAGGTCCCTGTGGGGAAGGAGACGTCTGGGTCTTGACTGTCAAGGTCACTCTCGTGGTGTGATCTTGTAGGACAGCTCCGCTAGGTGTTCCCCTTGGGGGAAATGGGCAAAGGGTGCTTGGGGTTTCTGTGTTATTTCTTATAACTGCAGGTGAATCCACAATTATCTCAAAACTGAAAGTTTAATTTTAAAAATTTAGCTGAGTAACAAGAAATAGAAAAAAAAAAAAAAAAAAGATGGGGCCAGAGATGGCAGAGGTCCAGGACATGCCTGACCCAGAGCAGGAGTGGAGACTGCTCTGCCGCCCACTCCCTCTCTGTGGGTGGGCCGCAGGGCTGCGGGCGGCTTCCTCTCACCACTTTCCAGGTGCCAGCCTCCCTCTCAACCTTCAGATAGCACCCCCTTTCAAATAATCCAACTCTTGCGTTTCAGACCCCTAAATAACGACACAACAGCTACAACTTACAGAGTTAGCGCCCAGGGCGCCCACGCACCCCTTCCCAGGCCTGGACCCAGAGGACATCTGATGGGCGCTTAGCCCGGCAAAGCCTCCTCCCAAGACTGAGGTTACCGGGAGTGGTGGGCGTGCCCTGGGGGGCAGGCCTTGCCACGGAACAGAATGGGAGGGGAGCTCAGAGACAGACACCCTAGCCTGGAAGGGTCCCCACCACTGACCTGCAAGGGGGTGGAGGCAAGTGGCGTCCCCTGGCTTGAAGAGGCATCCCGGCCGGGGCTCAGGCCGTGACGGTCCCAGGGAAGGGAGCGAAGCCTCTGGACGGTCTGTCTGAGCTGAAACCTGGGGGCGGGCCCGGGGCTGAGACTCGTTGGTTCCTTCAGTCGGGTCCTGGGGCGGGGAGCGAGCCCCGCGCGACCTGCCCGCAGCCCCTCAGGTTGAGGGCGCCCGACCCCCACGCCCTGGGCTCTCCGCCCACCCCGCCCCCACCCCCCGGGGGGCGGGACGTCACAAAGGCCCGCGGTCCCCATGGCAACCCGCGGAACGCCGCGGCGCAAGGCTGGGCACGCCGGCTCAGCGCACAGTCGGCAGCACTGCTCCGCCCGCTGCACGACGAAAGGCAAGTGGGCGCGGGGAGGCGGGCTGGGGGGATGCAGGACTAGGGTGATGTGGCGGAGGTGGGGGTCGGTTGGGGGGAAGTGGGCCTGGGGCCGGGGGTGGGGGTTGTAGGGGGTCTCGGAGGCGAGGAGGGTGTAGGTCTGGGGTAGGAGGGCCAGGACAGAGGCTTCTTTGGAGGAGTTCACCAGCAGCCCCTCTGCCTTTTCCACCTGAGAGACGGTGGGCATCTGGAAACACCTCGGACCCGGACCTGTAGCCAGGTCTGGAGCTAGAGTTCCCTCCAGAGGCAGCTTGAATCTTGCCCCAGGCTCCGGCCACCGCAGGACTTAGGACAGGAGTCCTGGGTCCTGGTCTCAGTTGCACCTCAGCCCAGATACCCTGTCTGCAGTGTTCAGGACCGGGGTCTGCCACCTCTGCCCCAGGAAGGTCAAGGCCTGGCATTTGGGGAGGGAGACCAACTTGGGTCCCAACCTCACTCTGCCCCTTAGCAGAGCAGCCTTGGGCGAGTCACTCAGCCTCTCAACTCCTTTCCGCACGGGCCGCCCTGGCCCAGAGCCCCCGTCTCAGCCCTGCCTTGTGTCATCACAAACGACCATCAGTAGAGTGTCGTGTTGGCCCCGCAGTGTCCGCTTTTATCTAGACCTGCAGCCTGCTCACCTGGCCCTCCAAGCAGCCTCTTTCCAGAGAGACGAGCCCTCCCCACAAAGTTCTCCCCGCGCCCCCCAGCAGGCTAGAGGGCCCAGCATGGGGGCCAGTGGGCCTGAAGTAACCCCCACACAAACACTGCCCCGAGTGAGCCCCTGGGTGGGCGGCAGAGGCCGGTCTGACCGTCCCGCTCACATCGGGCCCTCCACCCGCTGCTCCCAGACAGTGAACTTGCAGGTGACAGGCTGGACCCGGACAGAATGAAGCTGGACAGCCCTCAGTGCCTCCTGGACCAGGAGGAGGCGGGGGAGGCCGGGGATCGGCAGCTGCTAGAGCCCGAGACGTGGCGGACGTACGCGGAGCGCCGCATCGCTCTGCGCAAGTTCCTGACCGCGGACCTGAGCCCCCAGCTGCTCAAGCGCCACCACGCCCACGTGGAGCTTCTCAGGAAGTGCTCCTACTACATCGAGATCCTCCCCAAGCACCTGGCGCTGGGCGACCAGAACCCGCGGGTGCTGCCCACCACGTTCCAGTTCATCGAGCCCCAGAAGTTCCAGCGCATGAAGAAGGTGGGCGCAACCCAGGCCAAGATCCAGCTCCTGCTGCTAGGGGAGCTGCTGGAGCAGCTGGGCCACGGCCGCTCTGAGCTGGACGCCCTGCTCGAGTCACCAAACCCTCAGCCCTTCCTGGCAGGCTGGGGGCTCGTGGAGCAGCGGCTGGCAGACCTGTCGGCCGTCATGGAGAATTTCCTGGCCACGATGGTGCCAGGGCGTCTGCACATCAAACACCGCCTGGTGTCTGACATCAACGCCACCAAGATTCCCAACCTCCAGGTCACGCTGAGCGCCAAGACGCCCGTCACGTTCGACCGCAAGGAGTCGGTGGCCCACGAGGACTGGGCCAGCCTGCGCTGGTCTGTCACGCTCCAGCCGGCCGCGCCAGAGCAGTTTGAGCTGCGCTACAAGCTGCTGGACCCACAGACACAGCAGGAGCGCGTGCAGTATAGCATCATCCCCGTGGCCGCCTACGCCTTCGACGTCCCCAACCTGCTGCCCAACCGCTCCTACGAGTTCACCATCAAGAGGGTGGAGGGCTACACGCTGGTGTACGAGCCCTGGCTGGACAGCCTCACCCTGCAGACCGGGCCGAGGGCCCTTGAAGGGCCCGCCCCCCGGCGGCTGGGCAAGCTAGGCCCGGCCCTGACCACACCTTCCTAGAAATGGCTTTTTAATACTTACACGCTAATAAAGAGGAGTATAAACACGCATCGGCAATTGAAGGAACAAACCTACTTCCTTATTAAAGGGGGTGGCAGCCACATGAGCGTTTTTCCTGACTCAGCCCAGCCCACCCACAAGTCCCTGCCCCCCCCAGCTCCTGCTTCCTTTTCTAGGGGGTGCCCCAGGCTGGCCTTTCCAGGACACTGACCCCTGGAGCAAGAAGCCTCAGCCCTGGCACGTAGATGCCGCTGCCAATGAGAAGAGCTGCTCCGAGGCTCTGCCAGGTGGCAGCCCCAGCCCTTCCCCCATCCCCATCACAACAACCAGCTGTGACACCTGGGCACAGGCTCTGGCCGCCTTTCCTGCCTCTTATGCTGGGATTCCTCAAGGGAGGGCAATACCCCCAAGTCCTGCGCGGACCCCCGTGGGGGCAGTCCCTACCTGCAGGCACAGATAGGCGCCAGTACTGTCAGCCCCAGCTTCATCGAGGCCAGGGCCCAAGGCCAAAAGGATATTTTAATGAAAATAAAAGTACTATCTTCTCCCCAAGAGAAGCTGAAGAACCCCCATTGCGAGGTGGGTTAGGGTCCTAGCAAGGGAGCCTGGTAGGTAACCCCCCCCAGGTCCACACAAATGCATACCTCCTGTTGGGGGCGGGGCCTCCCTACAGCCCATCGCCCCTCCCCACCAGCTCCTGGTGTCCAGCCCCAGACGGGCGACCTAGAGAGTCTGTCCTTGCTGCCAGTGTGCCCCGCAGCTCGGCCAGCAGCTCGCTCACTTCCTGAAGGCGACACGGTCATCGGTGTCTACCTGCTCCAGCAGCTTGGCCCTTCAGGTCCAGGAGGGCAGCGCCGTGTACCCTGGCTACAGCGGAGGAGGACTGTCCACGGGAAAAGGCCAGAGCCGCCCTCGGTACACTGCTAACCAGCTCTCCGTACACACACCGTGATGGTCGCTAGGACAGCAGGCCCCTGAGAAGATAAGGTGTGGCCAGGGCAAGGGGTCAGGAACAGGGTCCCTCCCCCACTGAGAGGCGGTTTGGTGAGGCGGGGACCTTAACTGGGTCAGAAAGGCCCAGCACCACCACCCCAGCTATGGCCAGTGTCCTCTGCAGCGCTGGTATGTCTCAGCCTGCAGCTCCCCTCCCAGGCCTCTCCAGCCACCTGCGTGCTGCTGTATGCCACCCAGGGCGTCCAGCCACACTGTCATGCTATCTGTGGCATCGCGTGGCTATGAGGGGCTCCCTCCTGGATGTCCTGCAGATGGACTTGTCCCAAGGCTCCCAGGGGTCCCGGGCAGAGTCATTGTGCTTGCTCCAAGGAAATGTCCGGAGCAGCAGAGGGTGGGGCATGGCAGAGAGAAGTCTGGGGAGGGGAGAAGGGCAGGAGAGGCCAGGGGACCAGAGATGTGGGTTTGTGCTGGGTCACACTGATCCAGAGCCTGCACGCTGGGGTGAGGGCTCGCCAAGGGAGCTGCCCGTGGGTGCTGGGGCCTGGCACGCCGTCCGAGGGACTCCGGGGGGCTGGCCGTGGGGGTCTGTGTGCTCGTCCCCAGTGAGGGCGCGCGGCGTGAGCAGCTCCTTGTCATGGAGACTCAGCTCTTCAGCCTCCCACACGGCCATCTCCACGGCGCGGTGGTTGCCCCCGCATCAGGACGCCCCCTGCCCGCACAGCCACCCTCGCCCCACAGACTTGCGGAAGGCCAGCGGCTGGCCGTGCGGGAGACGTGGCCACACCTCCACACCTTGCGGCTTCCAGCGGCCTTGGTGCTCACGAGGGAAAGGAGAGAGGGGCAGGCTCCGTGCCTGGGGCAGCAGCCCCGGGAGCCCACGGGGCTGAGGCGTGGCGGACGGCGCTGGAAGCGTGGAGAGCAGAGCTGGAGGAAGCGACCCCCATCTCTGCGCGGATGGCCTCAGCCAGGCGCGCCGCTCACCCCGGGCCCCGCGGCCCCGCACCCGGGTCTTCAGCCTCGGACGGCTGCCGCAGTGCCCACAGTCAAAGGTCCAGACCAGCGCCTCCTCGGGGCTCCTGGCAAAGGGGTGCTGGTTGTGGTGGCGCCGGCAGCCGAGCCCCGGCTGCAGGAGCGGCAGACATGGCTGTGTGAGCCGCGGGATCGTGGGCAGGCGGTCTGCCTCACGCCGCACCCTGCTCCTGGCGGCTGGCTTCAGGCGGGCCAGCAGGATATCTTGCAGCAGCTGTGCTCCAGCCTGCTCAGGAGCTAAGTCTTTTCCATCAAGCCACTGGGTGCAGCGGAAGCAGCCCAGACACAGGTCCACCTGGGCGCGCAGGCCAGCCAGAGGTAGCTCCTCGGCGGCTTCGCGACGCTGGCAATGCCGTCTCTGATGCTGGCCTGGCTCTGCGGGGCGGTATCTGAGGCTCAGCTGGTCCTCTGCGCTGTTCACCTGCGATGAGAAATCTGGGACACGAGGACCGAGGGGCCGTGCACACCGGGCAGGGGCTCGGACACGCTCTGCCCCTCCC